AAACTTCTACCATAGTGGAAGTGCTTTGTAGCCTAACTGATCTACAACATTCCACACAAAAACGCAAGAATCATGAGAAAACAAGGCAATAAAATACCTCATAAAACTCGTAGCTCCCCAAAAGTTGATCTCACAGGTACGGAATAGAAGAAGTTTCAGACAAAGAACTCAGAAACCAAATATTTAAAATGTCTGGAGAGACTATAAATGACTACTTTAGTACATGAATGACTTCTTCCATATAAAGAATTTGAGGTTATAAAAAGGAATCAAGTAGAAATCCTAGAAGTGGAAAACACAATTGAAATTTATGTCAGTAGACAGGATTAATCAGGATAGAATGCCATGACTTGAGGACAAGAAGATCACCTCTCCGTGATACTCCAAAAACAACCAGAAATCGCAACAGGTTGATTCACAGGGTTCCAGGTGACTCTAAGATAACAAACCTAAGAATTATAGGTGTGAAGGCATAAAAGGCATAAAATTTTATTCACTGAAATCATAGCAGAAAACTTCACAAATATAGAGATTGAAGTAGAGATCTACAAAATGAGGCATTTAGAACCCCAAATAGATATAATGAGAAAAGAACTTCACTAGGACACATCACAGTCAAACTCCAAAGAAATGAGGGACAAAGAGAGACTACTGAAAGCCAATAAAGAAAAGTGTCAGGTTACTTACAAGGCAAGCCTATGAGAATAAGTGCAGACTTCTCAACAAAACTCTCAAAGGCCAGGAGAGCTTAGAGTAAAGTTTTTCAAGGCCTCAAAGAAAACAACTGTCCATCCACATTAATAATACTGTAAATTTATCTTTCAAAATTAATGGAGAGTTGAGCATGGTGGTGTATGCCTGTAATGCCAATACTAGGGAGGCTGAGGCAGGAGCCTTGCCATGAGTTCAAGGTCAGCCTGGGCTACATAATGAGTTCAAGGCAAGCCTGAACCACATAGCAAGACTGTGTCTCAATCACCCCCCAAATAACAATAAAATAAAAATCTTTCACGACAAGAAGAACCTCAAGAAATTCATGACCACTAAATAAGCATTGCAGAACATGTTCAAGGGAATTTGAAATACAGACAGCAAGTCTAAGATCAACAAAGATCACAAAGTAAACAATTCATCTAACTGAGAGAGTATTTAAACAACATGAAAATAGAAAAGAATTAGCACTGGAAAAAAATGCCAAGACAAGAATCAGTAAATACCTATTAGTAATAATATCCAATGTAAATGGTCTTAACTCCCCAGTCAAAAGACAAACACTGGCAGCTTGGATCAAAAAACAAAAGCCAGAGCTGGGTGTGGTGGCACACACCTATAACCCCAGCACTCAGGAGGCTGAAGCAGGAGGATCTCTGTGAGTTCGAGACCAGCCTGGGCTACGAAGTGAGTTTAAGGCCAGCCTGAACTAGCTAAATGAAACCCTGTCTCAAAAAGGGAAAGGCAACAAAACAAAACAAAATGAAGGCCAATTGGTTGTCTCCAAAACACACCTCATCCACAAATAAACATATGACTGAAAGTGAAAGGATGTTAAATTATTCCAAGCAACAGGGAACTAAAAGCAAGCAGGAGAGGCTATCCTGTTTTCAGACAAAATGAACTTCAATCCACAGCTGATCAGAAGAGACAAAGAATATCACTATATACTGCTGAAAGGAACAATCCAACAGGAAACAACAATTGCAAATATATACGCATCAACTGTTGGTGTACTCAATATCATAAAAAAAATACTTGACATAAAGGACAGGTAGACACCAAAACAATCATGCTGGGGGATCTTCAAAACGCTACTCTCACAAATAGACATGCAAACCAAACAAAAACAGAACAAAGAAAGAATGAACCATATCACTGAACAAATAGACTTAACAGGTCAGTATTTCCTCCAACGCTAACAGAACACAAATTCTTCTTAGCAGCCCACAGAACTTTCTCCAAAGTAGGCTATATCTTAGGTCACAAAGCACACTTAAGTAAATACGAAAGAATTCAAATCTGCACACCATCAGACCACAAAGGAATGAAACTAGAGATCAACAGCAACAGAAAATAAAAACATTAGGCAAACTCATGGAGATTAAATAATACATTTTAAAATAATCAATGGGTCACAGAATAAATCAGAGAAGAAACTAAACAGTTCCTAGAATCAAACGACAATGGCAGTACAACATACCAAAACCTGTGGGATAAAATGAAAACACAGTACCACAAGAGAAGTTTTTACCTATTATCAGAAAATAGAACAACTGCAAATAAATACCATAATGATGCATCTCAAGAGCCTAGAAAAACAACAGCAATCCAAATTCAAAACTAATCGAAAGAAAATTAAAAAGATCAGGGTGGAAATTTATTAAATTAAGACTAAAAAATACAAAGGATCAATGAATCACAGAAGTTGGTTCTTTGAATGGATAAACAAAATAGACAAAGACTTAGGCAAACTTATCAAAAGAAGGGAAGAAAAGACACTTACCAGTGCTATTAGAAATGAAAACAGTGAAATCACAAAGGATATCATTAAAATCCAGAGAATAAGAAACTATTTTGAAAACTAACATTCCAAAATAAATTAGAGAATCTAGAAGAAATGGATAAGGGCCTAGACACATATGGCTTAACAAAATTAAACCTAAAAGATATAAAACTCTGAACAGACCAATAATAGGAAGCAAAACAGAAGTAGTAATAAACTCTATCAACTAAGAAAATCCAAAGAACACCATTGAAATAGATTCACCAATGAATTGTACCAGAACTTCAGAGAAGACATCAATATTTCTCAAATTCTTCCATAAAATTGAAAGGGAAGCAACACTGTTAAACTAATTCCTTGAAACCAGTATTACCCTGATACCAAAAGAACACGACAGGCCGGTATCTTTAAGAACAGATGCAAAACTCCTCAACAAGGTACTTGCAAAAGAAATGCAACAAATCATTAAAAAAGACCATATATCATACACAAGTCAACTTCACAGGGATGCAAGGATGCCACAAAGTATGTAAATCAATAAATGCAATACACAACATAAACAGAAGGATAAAAATGACATAAATATCTTAATAGATGAACAAAAAGCCTTTGACATCATCCAATACCCACTCATGATAAAAAAAATAAAACCCTGACGAAAAAAGGTATAGAAGGATTTTATCTCAAAGCCATTTATGACAAACATACAGCCGATTTCATACTAAATGGGAAACAACTGAAAGCATTCCTCCTAAAATCGGGAAAGGGACAAAGGTGTCCACTCTCACCCCTCCTGTTCAACATAGTACTCAAAAGTTTAGCCAGAGCAATCAAACAAAGGAAAGAAATAAAAGGAATATGAATGGGAAAGGAAGAATTCAGACTATTTTTATTTGTAGATGATGATCCTTCATGCAGAGAACCAAGAGATTCCACCAGATTCATAGAGCTAACAAACAAATTGAGCAAAGTGGCAAGAAACAAAACCAACACACAGGGACAGGGATGTAGCTCAGTGGTACAAGCACTTGCCTAGAAAGCGTAGGGTCCTAAGTTTGATTCCCAGTACCAAAAAAAAAAAAAAAAAAGGTTAGTGATGTAGCTCAATACAAAGGTCCTGAGCTCAATCCCTAGCATTGCAGATGAAAAAAGAGTTGTTTGGAATTAGAACTCAGGAGTTCAATTCTTGGCACAAAAAAAAAAAAAAAAAAAACAACTCAGGAGTACAAAACCAACAGATAAACACCAACAGCATTCTTGTACACTATTAATGAACCTACTAAAAAAGAAATCAGGAAAAAAATCCCTTTCACCATAGTATCAAAAAGTTAAATTCCTAGGAATCAACCTAAATAAGGTAAAAGAGGTCTTTAACAAGAACTATAGTATTCTTAAGAAAGAGATAGAAGACGACATTAGAAAGTGGATAGACCTCCCTTCTTCATGGATTCGCAGACCATTCTTACGAAAATAGCCCTATTACCAAAAATTATACATATATATATATATATATATATATGGTTCCACATTGTATGGCTTCTCTTATATGGGAAACACAAACTATAATAATTTAAAGTGTAACATAGGGCTCGGGATGTAGCTCAGCAGCACAAGTGCTTGCCTGGCAAGCACAGGTCCTGAGTTCGATTTCTGATTCCCAAAAATAAATAAATAAATAAATAAGGTGTAAGCTAAAGGAGGAATGATAGGAAAACAAGAAGGTAGACTTTTGAAGATGGAGAAAGGGCTCTCTGCAGGGAAGGGAGAGAAGCAGGTGAGGGAGAAGGGGATCAAAAATGTCCAATTAAGAAACAAAATTCTATCATTTGCAGCAAAATGGATAGAACTGGAAGTCATGATGTTAAATGAAAATAAACTAAGCACAAAAATAAAAAAAACCTTTATGATCTCACTTATGTAGAAGATAAAAAAGTTTGTCCCATAGAAGTAGAGAATACAATAAGGGTTTCCAGATGCTGGGAAAGGTAGCAGGAAAAAGGGATAGGAAGGGTTGATTAAAAGATCCAAAAATGGAGTTTGATAGAATAAAGTTCAAAAGTTTTATAGTACAGTAGGGTGAATATAATTAGAAATACATTTTTGTATATTTCAAAATAGGTAGCAGGGCGACTGGATATTTATCTTAGTAGTAGAGGGCTTTCCTAACATGTGAAAGGCCCTAGGTTCAATACCCCACACAGAGGGGAAAAAAGGTAGCCAGGATTCTGAAAGTTTCCACACAAACAGTAAATGCTTGAAGCGACAGCTATACTAATTACCTCAGTTGATCATTATATGCCATATGCAAGTATCAAAGTACCACATTGTACCCAATAAATATGTATTATGTGTCAATTAAACAAAGAAAGAACAGTATTTCAAACTAAGCTCTACTATTTCATAAAGGAAGCTACAAAAAAATCAAAAAATCAAGCATTGAGTTGGATAGGTTCACAGAACCACAGTTATTAGGACTGAAGCCTGGGGTCAGAGGAAGCCTTACCTGGTTGCCTGCATCACAGTGGTCAATGCGGCGGTGGGCTGTATTCAGGTCACCCAGAATGATCACGTGGCTGAAAAATACAACTTGGGATCATCAAGCAGATCTTCAAAAAAGGAAGAAACAGTGCTGCACCATATACTTTTTCTCAGGTTCAAGGGCTTAGACTGCCAACACCCAACACTGAAGCTTTAGCCAACAGCCACTCTGCTCTTCACCGCCCACATCTCCCATTCTGCTACAACCGAAACGTCTTTCACACCTGATCAACCAAAGTCTGAGCTCTAAATGTGATACTGTTCCCTGTTTGACATGATACCTCAGTGATCTCTACCTAACGCCATCTTTCTTGTTCTTCAAAACTGGCCTCAAGGTACTACTTACTTTCTCTGGGAAGTACCTGAGTTCTTTAACCTACCCTTACTTCCTTATTCCTTTCTGAAACAAAACTTTCACTTATGCACAAGTACTCCACCATCCTCATCTCACTTAATACTTTAAACTACACTGCGAAGTAAAGATTCACACACTTATTTGACAAAAAACAGAGGCAGGGCTAGCCTTGTGGGTCAGTAAGATAAAGGAGTAGCCAGGTTAGGTGCTTAGAGCACAAAACCTGTTTTTGTTTCACTCTGTCTTACTCTCACAGCTCTTAAGACAGCAAGGTCTATTAAGTAGGCATAGCAGTGTCTGCAATTGCACTGTGCAGGAACTCAAAGAATCCATATGTCTTCCAATGAAATGTGAACACAGGGCTGGGCATCCCAGGACAAACTCAAGGATGCTTGCTGCTCAACTTGCCGTACCTGCCAGCCGCCAGAAGGGCTTCTGCTCGGATCTGCAGCAAGCGACAGAAGCGCATCTTGAAGGTCAGTCGTTCAGGCTTCTCAGGGTCCACACGGGGGCAGTACACATTGATTAGGGTCAAGGTCCTCTCCTTCCCTTCCCACGTTCTATGGAGAATAAATCCCCCAAAGGAGTCAATTTGAAGCCTCCCTTACTGTACCTACACCATGTGGCTTCCACTTAATAACTTTCTACAGGATAGAAAAGGAGTTGGATGGACATTTATGAGCAGACACACAGAGGACTCAGGGAAAGACTACAGGTCAGACAGGGAAAGGGTCATGTAGGACGACACTCAGGCAAACCAGGTGATAATGCTGCCATTCATGAAAATGGCTCATCCAGAAAGAGCAACTTGGGGCAATGAGTTTGGCACTGGTTAAGTTACTTTTAAGGTATCCGTGGCAATAAGAGATAAATCATTAGGCCAGGCCCCCAAGGTAGAGGTGGAAACTCAAGGCTCAGACAGGAACGTGACTTGTCAGGGTCACACAGTAAGCAGCCTAGCGAGGACTAGAGTCCCAGGAACTTTATAGTGAATCCTTATTTATAAGGCAAATCTTAGAATTTCTACACTACGAGTAGAACCAGCAATGCTCAGCGGTAGCGGGATATGGGCTATTACCGGATCTTGTGCTGTGTAAGGAGGGCCCGGCCTTCACTATCCAAAGCCCGGAGCTCCTCCTGGGTGAACTCATCCATGTTTCCATAGCAACCCACGTTCCCATTCTGGGTGGCAAACAGGCCACTCAAGCCTTCTTCAGCAGCCACTGGGGTAGCGCTGTCCTTACAGAAGGTGGCTACACCTGGGGACAGAGAGAGTACTCTGAACAGGACTGGCTGTGAACAGCGGGTTATACAGACTATGCACTCCAATTATCCCCACACAAGTTGCCTGATCATCTTTACAAAATGGGGCTCTTTATTTTATGTATTGACAACTCTCCCAAGGGCCACAGATGGCTCCCTAGAGTCTGGAGCAACCTGATGCTTACCTTGCCACAAAATAGTATTAACACCTAATATTCCATGTGTTTTACATGGATACGTGGTAAATGCTCATACAGTAATAGCTATTGTTATTACATGGATTAATAAATTTAATCCTTTTAATAGCCCTAGGAGGTAGAGAGTATCGTCATTCTCTCACTGGGAAACTAGAGGCACAAAGAGACAAAGTAACTTGCTACAGGGCACACAGCTAGTGTGCCATGATTTGAACCCTGGCTCACTGGCTCTAGAGCTCACAAAATTAACCACCACACACTACTGTACTTCCAAGACACAATAGGTAAATTTTGTACATTAAAAACCATACTTCAGGGCTTGGGATTTAGCTCAGCGGCAAAGTGCCTGCCTGGTAAGCGCAACGTCGTGAGTTTGATTCCTGGTACTGGAAGAAAAATGAAAAACAAACAAACAAAAAAACAAAAACAAAAACCATACTTCATGTAACTTAATTTTATAGGGCTTTCGCTGTGTGGACTAAAAGTCCAAAGTTATGATCTTCTCATCAAATAATAAATAGAAAAGCTTTCCCTACACCTCCCTCCATCACTAAAACTAATTTTAAGTCCCCTACAAAACCCCACTTACCAGAATAGCCACTACGGCTGCGGCTGTAGCTGAAATAGGAGTTATATCCCTCAACAATAGCCAGGGGCTCTGTCAGCACATCCCCTGGGGAAAAAGCATAATATTAATTTAAAAGGTTACACTAGGACGCAGGACACAGAAAGACCTGGAATTATTAAGTTGTAGGCTAATTACTAGTACACATCAGAGCCAGCGGTAGGAGGGAAAATTAGGTACAGGTATCTATGATTAGAGGAGCTAGAATGGTGGAAAAGTGAAGGAATTGATACCAAAATTAGAAGGTGGGGAAGTAAAAAGTCTATGGAGTGGCAGATGCAAAATTAGGGAGGAAGAATCAGAGCTAATCTTGGGGGTCTAGGTGACAGGAGAGAGAGACGGGAAACAGGAATATGGGAATATGGGACAGCAAACTGGTCATCCGAACTGCGGCTAAGAAGTGAGAGTGAGGGAACTGGACAGAGGATCTGAACTGGGGATGAGGGAAACAGAAATTAGAAGAAATGAGGGGGTGTGAGATCCGGTAGGAGAGGGCAAATCAGGTGGTCAGGTGGTGTAAGCTTGCAGTGAGAGATGAAGTGGGAATTAGGGGTGTCTGAACTAAGAGAGGTGGGGGTAGGTAAGGGAAACTGGTGATCTTAGATGGAAGCAAGTAAGAGCCTGAGCTGAGGCAAAGATGCGGTGGTAATTAGAGGATCTGAGCTGGGGCTAGAGACAGAGAGGGAGGAAATTCAAGGGACTGAGCTGGGACGGTAGAATGAATGGGAATCTGAGTGGATATGCGAGTTTCAAGAAGGAGGCAATTAAAATTCTGCCCAGGACAGGAGATGGAATAGGATTAGAGAACCTAGCGGGGTGGCGAAAAGAGTTGAAGAGGGAAGAGATCGGGATTTGGGGTTCTAAGGGCAGAACTCTTAAGTTACAGGGAAATGGGAAAGCAAAATGAGCTGGAGCAAAAGACAAAAGTTGGTGCGGAAAAAGATCACATGATAGGGATCCTGGATTTTTGAACACTCACTGGTCACTTTGGTTTCCTGGAGACAGACGATATCAGCGCCCAATTCCTCCAAAGTACGTTCCACGGTCACGTTGGCACAGTTGCTGGATTCCGGGCATACCGCCCCCTGCAGAGGACTCCGGATTCCATTGATATTCCAGCTCACCACGCGCAACATCTCAGCAAACCAGAAGGCCCCTGACCGGGAAAACACCACTTGTCTTCAGAAATTGGCTAAACGCGGCCTCCCGCGCGCGTTTGCGCAGGCGTTCTCTTGCGTGCCACGGAAGGACTTGACGTACGCGGGGCGGGACTTAGAGCCACTGCGTTGTTATTTGCGGAAGGCAGAACTAGGTGAACGCTGAAGGGGTAGAGCGGAAGTGAAGGAAGAATGAATGGCGACAACAAGTTTCTTCGGTTGGGCTCTTCCTCCTCTGAACGCGAACTGGCCGGACCACCTGAGTCTAATTGTATTCTATTTCTTTTCCGTTGAAAAGTATTCTTGGTGCTTCTGGTTACTTATAAGCAGGATTTCGTCACTTGTTAGGCTGCGGAACACGGTGGAACCGCGCTGCAGCGGAAATCCCTCCCGCGGCGTGCAGACCGCCCATCTAAATACGCCTAAAATTGAGACGCCTGCGCCCCAGGAATTTCTGGCGCAGCGTGCTCGCCGCAGTAGGGGCGAAGCAAATTTAGCGAACTTAGCAGTTGGAGAACAGAGCAGTAAGAACCGCTGTACTGGGATAAGACTTATGAGGATGGCTTTTGGCTGTATTGGAGCAGGGAGAGACTCTCAAATCTACCTGGTAGCTACATTTGTCTTGGACCTCACATCTAGAAGGATGTGCCAGACACATGTATATTTTCTTGGCTCCATTTCTCAGATAAGTAAAATTGAGGTCCAGAAAAATTTAAACTGCAGAGCATGACTGTTTTCTGATGCATCCATAGCTTTTCTGTTTACATGATCTCATTTCATCAGGACAGCCGAGTAAGGGGCATTGAAACTAAGTAAGAGAGGTTGAGTGATTTCGCCTCAGTTTCACAGATGTGATGGAGCCAGGATTCAAACCCATCTTAGTCAGCTGAATGCTTATTTTTCTAAGATTTTATTGATCACACAACTCTGATCTATTTAAGTCTTTCACTCTTGCCCCCCACGATACCTTATGATTCATTCTGTCACAGCAGTGACAACAATACACAGTTACCATTGATTGATTGTTTTGTTGTTGTTTGTTTTGAGACAGGGACTTGCTATGTAATCCAGGTCAGCCTTGAATTCACTATGTAGTCCAGGCTGGCCTCGAATTCATAGCGATCCTCCTGCCTCATCCTCCCAAGTGTGGGGATTATAGGTGTACCCCATGACGCCTGGCTGATTTCTGTTTCTGTTGCCATTAGATTGCCACCAACTTGAGAGTAAGGACCATAGCTGATTCATCTCGTTGGTTCTCTTTCCTAATGCTGGACACAGTAAGTGTTAGGAGGGAAGAAATATTAGATAAACAGAGCAAAAGCAACAGGTTCATGGGTTGTATTGAGAGCACAAAAATCGAATAATAATAACACATGTCCAGTGTCCTTAAGATTCTCATTTAGAATCTCAGCATATTTATTTTTCCCCAGAACTTCACAGCCTTACAGCCATTATCCTTGATGGCTACAAACACACACACGCACACGCACACGCACACACACACGAGCTGCTTTTCTCCCAGAGGACTTAAAGGTCACCTCCTTGTTGTTGCCATCAGAAAATAGCTCTGTAATTAAAAAAAGAATTTTGTGCCTTGAGCTATTTTTCATGATTTGGGAGTTACTGACTCGGATTGAATCCCAGGAGTGGGATAACTAGGACAAAGGAAATGAACATTTTTATTGCTCTTGCTTCATATTGCCAGATTGCTTTCCAGTAAGGGATTGTGCCCATTTACACTGAAGACCTGTCTGAAATTCAGCTGCAAGAAAATCTAAATCTTGCTTGTCTCAATAGCTGGTTTTAATTTCTCCATTCTGCCATTGCTTGTTAATATTAGTTCTGACCTTTGGGGCAAGGTGAACACATGGTTGGACTGAAGAGAAAAGGCTCCGAGTGGCTCAGGAACTTCTTTGGCAATTACAACAGCTGATATTTCAACAGAGTACACAAACACCCCTTAACAAGGGTGCTTCCTCAGCCTTCCCAGAAGCCAACGAACTTCTCCAGGTTCCCTCTTTGATGCCACCCACTGGACTTGCTTTGGAGGTCTATAAATGCAAGAGAGCTGAGTGTCGGATAATTGGCAATGGAAGAAAAAATCTCTAGGAGAACAGGTATGTGAGAAATAAGGAAAAAATAGGAGTTACACAAATCCATTCTTCATGCTTTCTGAAAAGTTTTCTTTGCATACACTGTTAGTGGAGGTATGCATTAAAGGATATAGGAAAACGTATCTATAGCTAATCTGTGTGTATATTTATATATTTTGATTTGAATTTTTAGGACATTGACCTAATGGGAAATTCCTTAGCACCTTTGAAGTCTCTCCAGTTTATCTGTGAAGTCTAGTTGTGAATGAAATGTGGGATAGAGATTATATCTCTTACCTTCTTTCTGGTGTACAGAGTAGGGTAGATTTTTATGACACATTGAACAAGCTCTCTAGTTTCTGTCAGTAGCCTCCTCAGTAAAATGGAAATTAAAGTCCCGAGGCTCCTTTCCTCAGAAGGCTGCCTGAAAATCAAGAGGGGTTGGAAGACAGGTTGCAGAGTTGTTTGAAGATATTTTAGGACTTCAATGCTCTGTCTGAGATTAGCGGACCTGCTTTTCTTATAGCGTGCACAGGCAATACCACCCACAACCCTCTGCTTGCTCTTCTCCTTGAGTGACTGTGGTTTGTGGAGAGCCACTCCTAGCAATAGGATGCAATGAGTTTTGGGGCACAGGCATGAGGCTGAAAAGAGGGGGATGGTCGGCTGGGGCAGTGGGTCAGAAAGAAGTGGATCCTGAGCTGCTGCCAGGCAAGGCCTGATATATGGTCATGCATGCATCTAACCTTTGAGCATGGCCTAACCTCCCCTCGGCACTCTAATCCTCTACAAATGCATCCGTACCCACACACTTCAAGGATTACCAATAAGGTAACCCCATTTGTAATTTGATTGCTCATCAGTGCTGTTTTGATGCTTTAAATGGGATTCCTCCCCCAAACCCCATACTCAACGGGTATCAGGATCTGCATGTCTTAGGAAGGCACACTATATACTTTTCTTCACTAGAAATAGCCCAGTTTTAGAAATAATGGCTCAGCTCTTAGTCCTGAATGAGAATCTGTTACTAAGTGAACCCCGTCTCTGCAACTAATTCACTGAACCTTCTCAGGGAAGATTTCATTCTTCTATTTATTCTGTTCTTCCCCTTTCAAAGTTGAGAACCCCTTCTAGATACCACCTTCTACCTTAGACCAAGTCAGGTCCTCCATCTACTCTCCTGCACAGCTCTCTCTATCTTGCTGAACTGAGATTACTTGTCCGCATGTTTCTCTCATTTGGGCAGAGAGATGTAGGCCGTACAAATGCTCACTAAGCAAATGTTTTCTCTGTGCCAGTGCCCGAGCCAAACACTGGAAACGCAGATCCCCAGGACCCTATCCCCATTCTCAAGGGACTCACAGTCTAGTGGGGAAGCAGACAAGGAAACCCTGGAGAATACTTGCTGAGATAAATAGAGATACATGGGTGATATGATAACTGAAGACAAAGCCTCTCCTGAAGATACAGAGGCGACTTGCCAAAGGATGTGAATGTTAAACCAGGACTTGATGAGTGAGTCAGATTTCATTGAGAATGGAAGGAAAGAGAAAGCATTGCAGGCTGAGCAAAAGCCCAGAGGTAGGAAAGCATGTGGTATGTTCTGAGGGCAAGTCAGCCCCTGCAGTTTAAACATAAGAGTGTAAAGAGAGACATGGTTGGACAGGCAGGTCGCGGCTTGATTTACGAGGCTTGAATGCTAGGCTGAGGCCTTTCCATCGAGCTTGTGTTTTGTTTTTCTGCTTCTGCGATCAGAATTGGTAACAGCAGTGTACAATTTCATACTGCAACATAGTTTAAATTGGTTTTTCAAGCCTAGACCCCAGGTCTACGCTTTCAGACCTTGTTAAAAGCCTGCTAGCTGCCTATCTCAGATTTCTTGCTACTAAAATTATCATCTTGCCTCTTGGCAGGATCATGAGGATAAAATTGTAAACATAAGACACAAGTTCATGTGACTGGCTATAGATTACCTTTGACAAGCAACTTTCCCGCCCCAGACCTCAGTTTATAATGAGTATGTTTATAAGGAACAAGTAGGATAAGGGAGATGTTGTTGCTTTGTTAGCAATGAAATTCATACAAGAAAACATCATCAGTAAGATTATTAGCATTAATGAAATTATACCAGTTAGGAGATTTATTAGAATTAAGGGAGTTGTATCTCTTCCAAACTATGATTCTGTAACTCTACAAGTTCATAGCTAATCTGGAAAACTACATTTAAAAAATTTAACTTTGAATGGACACATGTGATACCATAGGATATTTCAGTACATGTGTACAATGTGCAGTGATTAGATCAGGGTAACTGGCATATGTGTCACCTCAAGCATTTATCATTTCTTTGGAAACATTCAAAATCCTCTCTACTAGCTATTTTGAAATCTACAATCAATTGTTGTCAACCATAGTTTCACTACGATGCTATAGAACATTAGAAATTATCCCTCCAATCCAGTTGCATTCTGTACCCGTTAACCATTCTCTTTCTCTCCCCTCTCCTTCCCAACTTCTGGTAACCACTGTTCTACTCTCAGCTTCTTAAAATCAACTCTTTTAGCTTCCTCATATAAATGAAAACATGCTATATTTACCTTTCTGTGGTTGACTTAGTTCGTTTAACATAATGTAAAAGACCATGTTCTTAAATCAAGCTAGCTTCATCAGTTAACCAAAGAAAAGCCATGGACTGGAAGTACTTGGATTGCCAGTGTTCTGTTCGTGACTTGGCCACTTCTTTACTGTGTGACCTTAGAAAAGTGTTTCCCTTCTCTAGGCCTCAATTTCTTACCTAAGAAGATGGAGTATAATGATATACAGGGGGCTTCTCAACTTTCCAAAAGTCTTCACATAAAAGCAGGAAAGTAAAAGTGAATTCATCTTTTTAATTGATTCTCAAGAGCTCTTTACATTGTAAATGTTAACACGTTGTCATAATATTGTATGTTTTCTTTGCCAAAAGGGGTTACTGATTACTGAAAGGGGTGACTGATCATTTATTTTAAAAAGGAAATAACAATGTTAGATAATAGATATTTAGCATTTTTCAGGCTGCTTTACATGTGTTAATACATAAACTCTTCAACAACCCTAAAGGGGTAGGTACTCTTATCATTCCCATGTTCCAAATTAAAAAATAGGGCACTGAAAAGTTCAATCTATTGACCACCAATGGGCAGAACTGGGATTCTACTTGGTCAGTGTGTCTCCAGAACCTATTGCTCTTAACCACTGTGATCCACTGCCTCACTGGATTTGTTTAGCTATGTGGACTCTAATTTTAAAAATCTAATATAATTTATACACAGCAACTGGAGGGAATCTAACCCTTGTGTAGACTAAAGCTGTGGGAATGTATTTATCTGAAAAGGCAAAATGGAGCTAAGAGCATTTGATGGCAGGGATTGGAGATTTCTATCCCCAAGAGAGTGCCCTTTTGCAGCCTCACTGAGTGGAAGAAAGCTGCTCTTCCTAATAGCCAATCAGTGGAGGTTTATCAGGGGGTGGGAAGATTGCAAAAGAATGGAGTAAGAACACACTTGGATATCTTCCAGGCAAGCATGAGTTCTACAGATAAAAACCTCAAAATAACCAGGAGTAGGAGGCAGGGAAAATGGGGGTAGTTTAGGGGTAACATCTGGGAGGGCTTGCTCTGGCCGATGGACTGCTGTGGACTGTTCACCCTTATAGCCTATTGCTGTTTGCTCCGCACACTATCCCTGCTGCAGCCTCTACCTTTTAATGTCTCCATTCCAACAGCATGGCATGAAGAACTTGGGCCAAGTTTTGGATCAGATCATGATGCCTATATCCCTAGAGCATCTCATGGCAGCTGGCAGCCATGTGAGCAGTGCTTACTATTTCTCCCCTCAGCAATGGCTGCACTTACTCCCCTTCCCGAAGTATCAGGTTCAGTGATTTTTTTAGCCTTGGCTGAAGAGAGTATAAAGACGATCACATAGCGCCCATCTCTCGAGCAGTGCCCCATGCAGCACATTGTAGAAAAGCTTTGCGGTCGGGAAAGCAGAATCCAGGCAAAAACAAGGGTTGCAATACCATTTGGGCTGGGAGAGAGCAGTGAGGCAGTGAACCCTCCACTTCCAGTTTGGGCCTTTAATTGCTAGCACAAAACATTGCATTTCGCATTAGGGACTTTGTGTTTTTGTTCTTGGGACCCTTGTATTTCTGATGACTTTTTATGTGGATGTTTCTTTCTGAGTTGGAGCTTGATATTCTGCTTGGGTCCAATTTGTTATTTCAAAGCTGAGGCCTACCTCCATCACTTTTGCTTTGCCACCCCACACAGGACATAAGCACATGATCTCTGGTCTTTTATTTGCATACCCTACTAGTCCTGTCTTCATTGGCAGGAAGTGACTGGCCAGACCTGGGCTGTCTTGCTGGCTGCCTTCCTTGCTGGGCTCCAACTTATCTCCTATGTACACAGCCCTTGGAGTTCAGAGGCCTCTGCTGACTTCTGCGCAACCTCTCACTCTTGGCATCCAAGCCCCCTCTGGTACATACAGGAGCACAGGCAGGCTAGGACTAGAGGAAAAAGAAGAATAGGCTGGAAACAGGCTGTGAGAGGCTCTGAAACCCGTTGCACCTGCATCCCAGCCCTTTCACCTGCTGCTGTGGCTACAGCAACAGGAGAGACAGCTAGGAAGACAGGAAGTGAGACCTGGTACCTTATAGGGAGGGTGTCGTTAGCTGTGACGCCTAAAATGTCTCAAGAGATGGGAGAGCTCACGCAAACCAGGTTGCAGAAGATCTGGATTCCACACAGCAGTGGCAGCGGCGGTCTGCAACGACGAAGGGGCTGTAAGTGGGGTTTACTTCTGTGGGCTTCAAGGTGGTGGTGGTAGAGTGGGTGTGGAAGAGCAAAGAATGCTCTCCATCAACCCCCACTCTAATCTAAAATTTGGGATAGATGAACAGCTGAAGGAAGTAGCTAAAGGATAACAAGAGGCAAACATCAGGAAGGTAAGAAAAGACAAAGATGGAAAGGAAGAAGACAAAGAGTGAGAATTAAAGACCATCTTAATCACAGGAATCTTTGACTAGGAACTTACCTTTTTGTATCTAGTGCTTCCTTGGAACGCTTTGTGTTTGGAACTTATGGTTTCTAGTGCAACTGTTCAGTGGAACTGTTCAGTGGTAACCTAGAATGTTTCAGTTTGGTTACCTCTGTGAAGTGTTTGGAAATTGATCTTGTCTGATTGTGCCTGGGTGAAATAAGGTGATGGTTCCTGGCATCATCGGGGGACAGGTGCCGGGTCACTGTTTGGCATTGCTCCCCCTTTTTGCAAGATTCTTCTTAGAAGCCTATACCTGCCTGGGCTAGGAAAAACTGTCTCCTCTACTGACTTCTTGGTACAGTTATACTCTCTTGCTACTCTGAGGATTTGAGGGAAAAGATATTCAGTCTTTCAGGGCCAGCCAGATGATTTCATATTCATTTTAAAAATTTAATAAGGAGAAGGGTTAAAGGAGAATCAAACAAAAGCTATATATATATATCTAGATATATATAGATATATCTAGATATCTATATATTTTTTAAACTGAAGTATACCATTTCCCTCAGATAACAGGGGACAATTGTGAACCAAGTTTCTTCCAGCCCAAGAATTATAGTCTAATGGTTCAGAAGGTACTGGAAATAAAGCAGCTGTGAACTCTGGGATTCAGACATCTCAAGGACCAGCTGACCAAGCTTTCATACACCTAATGCTAGAGGAGGTCCAGGCTCATGGATGTTGGAGGAGCAGTATTTGCTTAGAGGGTCAAGGAAGATGGAGGATATTATATATATAGTGTTACAGCGTATAAATAGAAGAACAGACACAAACCAACCTCTTGATCTCCATCCTTCTCACCACCAATTTTCCCTCACTCATCTGGAGAGCTAGGAGCCTGGATGAATCAGAATTTCATCCCACTCCTAACCACCCAGCCATTCTTAATCCTGTTGTGTTTACCTGACGGCAGGCAAACCACTCTGCATACATAGATCCTCCAGAGCCAAAACCCTTATATTCCTGGAAAATATGTCTTACAAGTAGGAGAGATAATATACATTAATCACCTGATATAGCCTCTGATACATAGAAGGTGCAAAATAAATACATCCTTACTTTAGTTGTGAGCCTCACTTTCCTTAACTGTAAAACAGGATTAATACTTATCTCCCACTGTTTTTGGGGTGATTCATTGATTCAGAAGTTCTGCATCTAATATTGCCTAGGTTTGAGTCCCGTTGGCCATCTCCTATCTCTTTAATCTAAGTTAAGTCTCTTAACATTTCAGTGCTTTGGTTTCCTCACCTGTAAAATGAAGTTGCTGATAATGTTTTGTAAAGGTTAGGTAAGCTAAAGCATATAAAGTGGTTAGAAGAGTGCCCAGCACATACTATACGTTCAGCAAATACTATTATTTGAATCAGAAGGTAGTCCTGTGGTCTTATTAACCTGCATATCCCCAGTATCAAGTCCTGAACATAGCACATAGCTGATGGTCAGTAAATGATCACTGCTACTTGTACTCTTCCCTCACCATAGCCAACTATGGAGCTCAGTATGCAAAAGATGCTCACATTTTAGTGATTGATTTATTTTTGTCAGGTCACAGGTGCAAAAAAGTTACATAGTGGTTGCCAATTCCTGCCTTAGGCAATGTCCGCCTCACATTCCAAGCTGAAGAGGCCAGGCTGTTAACCCTAGAAAGGTCTAAATCACCTTTTACCTGGAACTTTGTCTCTAGAAGACACACAATCACTTAATGAAGTTATGACAGTTACATGTATCACCATGTGAAAAGTCATTGAACAGTGCATGTATATTATCTTATCACCAAATATTATGTTTATGTGACCTATTGACATTATCAGCACATGTTTTTATAGTTTGTTTATGCTCCTTATTGTGTACTATTATGTTTTGTGAATATTTCATGATTTATCAATCCCAGTATGGATAAATTCAAACGGTTTTTAGTTTTGGGTTATGAACAGTAGTGCTGTGGACATTCTTGTACATTTATCCTGGGGTAGGGTATGTCCCTCCATTTTGTACTTCTTTTGTCATGCCTTGGCTATTTTTGTTAAATAAGTACTGTGCACAAACCAGTTGTATCACTGTAGCTCCTGTCTTGGCTATTTTTGGCACACTACTTTTCCCATAAATTTCGGTATCAGCTTTTCAAGTTACACACACAGAGACCAAACTTTCGAGAATTAGATTGGAATTACATTCAATGTATAAATAAATTTGAGAAGTTCATACCTATGATATTTAGTCCTGCCTAAACAGGATATCTCTCCATATACTTAGATTTTTTTCATGTTATTTCCATGTGTTTTTGCACTACTGGAGATTGAACCCAGGGCCTTCACACTGGGATACACCCCCAACTAACTGTCTGTGTCTGTCTCTTTGTCTGTCTTTCTGTCTGTTTGTCTGTCTGTCTCTCTCACATCTATACATCTATCTCTATCTATCATCTATCTGTCTATTATGTATATCTGTATATCTACCTATAATTTTGAGAGAGAGTCTTGCTAAGTTACTAATTTGCAGAGGCTGAGCTTAAACTTGTGACCAGCCTGCCTGAGCCTTCTAGGTTGTTGGAATTAGAGATGTGCACCACCATGCCCAGCATGAGTGATGTTTTACAATTTAATCTGCAAAGGGTTTGCACATCATAATAAGCAGGATTTCTGGGCTGATATTTTGTTGCTTTTGTAAACAGTGTCCTTTTAGAAAATTTTATAGCAGTTTGATTTTATAGCAGTGTGATACCAATGTATACAAATATAGTCATTTTATATGCTTAAATTGTAACTAGCAAACCGGCTAAACTTTCTCATTAGTATTGGTAAATTGGAGCAAATGCCAGCTTTCATTTTTCTCATCCAACCCTTGTTTTTTAAAAATTTTATTAGTACATATTTGTGATAAATAATTGTTACATTCACTGTGGGTAGTTAGTACCTATAAATGACACACCTTAATTCTTTTTGTGTCCCCTTTCCTTTCCCTCTCACACCTCATTCCATCTCCTGCCCCCCTTCCTATTTGCAAAAGATCTATCTCACTGTTTCCAATTATCTATCTTTTATTTTACTCTTTAATTTATTTATACTTTGTGTTTCTCATATAAGAGAAATCATACATATTTAAGTTTGTGTGTCTGATTCATTCCACTTAACATTATGGTTTCAACCAGAGATTAGTTATTATTTTAAAAATTATTTTTATTTTAAAGAGAAAAGAACAAAAACAAAGACAAAAACAAAACAACACAAAAACTGTAAAATTGATAAAGGATTTCAAAACAAGATGATAAGAAATCAACGGTGGTTGTTGTATTACTTATTCTTATCTTCAAAGTAGTTGCTCAGATTACCAGATATGGGCATGCAAGACTGATCAAACAATTAAACATTAACTGTTCCTTTCAATAAATCAATCAGAGGTTATTTTTAATCTTTTTCTTATATTGCTACATTGCTAAGACCTGCCACACACACACACACACACACACACACACACACACATACACACACAAAACAGTACAGTGTTGAATAGATGTGTTAATAGTGTTTGTTATTAGAGTTGATCTTGATTTTAAAGGGAGTGCTTTTAAAGTTTTAGTATTAAAACTTTTTTATATCTTTTTGATAGCTATGATTGAACAGGTTAAGGAATTTCCTATTCCTAGTTTGCCAGTAGAATTTTAAAAATATGAGTGAATGTAGAATTTAATTAGAAATGTTTTCTGTGTCCACTGAGATGACATGATAATTTTTTTTTATTTTAACCTGTTAATATGGTGCATTGCATTACAGTTTGTCTTGTGTTGAATTAATTTCCCAGGCCTGGGATAAACGAAAACTTCTAGATGATTGGCCTATAATTTTTCCATGTTCGTGCTGTCCTTATCTGATTTTGCTGTCAAGGTTATACTAACCTCATGAAATGAAGCGAGAGCTATTTTCTTTCATTCCGTTCTCTGATAGCGTTTGTCCAGGGAACTATCTGTTCCTCAAATATTTGGCAGAACTTCTAGATAAATGTGTCTGGGGCTGGTTTCTCCTTTAAAATTTAAACTAATACAGTTTAATAGTTACAGAATCATTTCAGTTTGCTACTTGTACTTAAGTTGGCTTTGTTAAATTATGGTTTTCTAGGGAATTTTCTATTTCACATCAGCTTTCACGTTTATTTGTATGAATTACTGATGTTTGTATCTGTTTCATTGTTGTGTTTGCAATTATGCCGTTTTATTCTAACATTTTTTATTTGTACCTTTTTTTCTCTTCATAAGCCTTGCCAGAAGTTTGTCACTTTTATAGTTCTAAAAAAGTGAACTTTGGTTTTTTGATCCTTTCTGCTATATCTTTATTCTGTTTAAATATCATTATTCTATTTTTTTCATTGGATTTATTCTTTTTTTAACATCTAGAGTTGAATGTGCAGGTCATTAATTTTCAACCTTTCCTCTTTTCTAATATAAGCATCTGATGTTAAAATTGGTGTACTAAACAGGACTGATATTCTACATATGCATAAATGTATGGGCATACATTTTTAAATATTTCCAGACCATTTGATAAATAGGCGTTGTCCTGGGCTTTCTTATTCTCTCTACCCAGTTGTCCTGGCTTCCTCAGTTCCTTTCTCAGGACTGCTGGAACTTACTGCTTATCATCTAGCAACTAAAACTTTAATGCCTGGCATAGTAGGAAGCTGCTAATAATTGGTGCCAGTGTTTGGGCCAGCTTCTGTTTAGGTACATCAATACCTTTTCCACTTCCGGTT